TGCCCACCCTCCGGGTCTCAGTGTTTACAAGTGAATGTAAACGCCGTGGCGGCCGAGCTTGGTTTGTTTACCGAGTCGGCCAGCCCGCTCCCGCGCCCTCGCTCGGGTGGCAGGCCTCTCTCGGGGCGGGAGGGCCACGACAAGAGCAAAGTTGCTTGGATAAAGCATTAGCAGCACGTGTGGTTCTGCGGCCACCCGGTGCACGCCGCTTGCACCATACGGGCCCTCAGGGAGGCCCTTGGGACCCGGTGCACGCAGCGCCCCCTGGTCGCGACGCGCCTGCAATGGCGATGGGCCACTCCGACCCGGCCACGACGCCACCTTCTTTTATTGGCCTCCCTGTGCGTAACAACCCGATAAGCTCTTATCTCACTCCGCTTCATGGGCTTATCACTCGATAAACATGTATCAGCGAGGTGGTGAGAGATAATGGATCCCGAGGTGAAAATAGCAGGGGCTTGGCGCGGCCAAAGTACAGCGCGGAAGCACAGCCAGGAGTAGAGCATCCCCCCTCCAAAAGGAAAAAAAAAATATATGGTCCAGTGCCCCGCCCTCGCCCTCTCTTGATTATCCTCAGGAATGGCGGCGTATCCGCGGTCACGGGAGAGGTCGGCGGGCGTGTGTGCGAGCGAGCGGGTGAATGAGTGTAGTAAGGCGAGGCCCGGGCGAGAGCGAGAGTGCAGTCTGGTCCCCGCAGCGCACGGGCCAACAAGGTGTATTTCGCGGCGCCCACGCCAGCCCCCGCAAGTACGAATGGGCGCGCACATATCTGCTTTTCGCGTGACTGTGCTTCCGAAGTGTTTGCTCCGTGCAGCGATCCCGGCGGGAGTGTTTTAATTGGTGGCGTTGCGAGGGTTGCAGACGTCACGTAGCCTCCCCTGCTATTGACGCAACCCCGGCACGCAGAGGGTCACCCGGGGTTATCTCAGGTGCTACTGCCGCCAGTTCCGTAAGATAGCGTGCGCGCAATCACGGTGAGATACAGCGAGGAACTCTGCGGCCACTCAGGTGCAAGTGGCTCTCTCCACTTGCCTTGGGGTCTTGCTGCCACAGTGACTGCCCATTGCAAAAGCATTGGGAAAGAGGTTTTAAAAGAAAATGCAAAGATGAAATATGAGGTTCGTATCCATTTCCATCAATATTTCTCGGTTGCCTTCAAGAACATTTGCAGAAAAGGAAGACAGTTTTGCCGAACGTTAAAACATCAAGAGTATATCCGGAATCAGAAGAAAAACGGGAGCGTGAGAAAATCTTAAAATACTGTCTGGAAGAATGTCTTTCTGTGGGAGTTCCTGCGCGTCCGCCCTTTGCCGGACGCTCAGGCAGGGAAGGGAAGAGGGCGTCATGCGCGCACGGCGCTCCTCGGGAACTCGGAACTCATTTTGGGACCAGATACTCGGCGGATATGATATAGGAGTGTTTATTTATATATATATATATATATATATATATATATATATATATATATATATTAGATATATACATACATATGTCTGTGTGTGTGTATTGTGTGTGTGTGTAATGTGTGTGCGTGTGTGTGTGTGTGCGTGTGTGTGTGCG